TCCAGGAGCTAACTTTCTTCCTCCAAATCTTTCAGAGGCAACTAAACTATCTCCCCCCTACCTGCCAAAAAACAAAAAAACAAAAACAAAAACAAAACCCTAGATGTGGTTAAAAGTCTCCTCCTGATTTTGAAACATGAATTGTTTAATATTAAAGTGGGGTGGGTGGGGGGACACAACTTGTTTAAATAAAAAGTGAATTGCTGTTCCTGAAGTCTTCCAGAAGAGACAGCACTCTCTGCCCTCCCCCCCCCCAAAAAAAACCCAGGGGCATTCTGAGGACAGTGAGTGTGTGGTTGTGCAAAATAGCCCTTGGGAGAGTTGAACTTTGCATACCCCTGGCATACATGTATAATACGTGATTTCATCACAATTTGTGATTTCATCACAATTTATACATGTGGCCATTTCTTAAGAGTGAGAGAGACAGGGACTAGGGAAAAAATCATGTCTGACTCAGAGAATTGCCAAGATCTCTTTTATAATTCTGGAAATTATGAACTGGAACAGAGATTGTTGCAGCCTTCATACAAAAGATAAGATGGCACTGCCACAACATTCCACAAAAAAGAAGCCAATCAGATAGGCAGTTCTTGGCACTTGTGATGGGAAAGCACTTTCACTGCAGAGCAAGCAATTGAATATACACAACTCTGTCCTCCCAATATCTCACCACTATTTGAGGGGCTTACTCAAATAAATGCTGTTATCTGGACATCAGTGGCATCAGCATGTTTTAGCTCAGTGTTTCTCAAAAATTTGGTCCTCCAAATATTTTGGATTTTCAGCTTCCAGAAGCCCTAGCCAGGAATTCTGGGTGCTGATGTACAAAATATCTGGGGGACCAAAGTTTAGGAAAACTGTGTTAGGTGAACAGAGCAAAGCATTTTGACAAGCAAAATATATACCGTATATACCCGACTATAAGTCAACCTCACGTATAAGTCAAGGACAGGTTTTGGAGACAAAATTGTGGATTTTGATATGACATATGGACAAGTCAAGGGTAAAACCTAGGGGCATGTAACAAATAATTTAAAGGATGGAGCAAAGAGAAATAATGCCAAATAAATTACAAAATTTAGCAGGCATACCTATTTGTGCTCACACTAAAAGCTGGATGGATGAGAGAGTAGGGGATGGGGTGGAAGGTCAGTGCTTCCAGGACAGATTACACTCTTGCCATTCACCAGGGGATGGTCCCTTTTTTAATATAAGATTTAAAGTACAGTACTTACATTGTCCCATGTAGTTTTTAATTGCTGTTTGCTTGGTAATTTTCCAATGTGACTATGTCTATTTCATGATTGGCTAATATCTCTCAAGAATCTTCCTATGATTTTCTATATGAGTTTTGTGCTCTTGCTAGGTAGATATTCCAAAATAGCTATAAATGGTAAGGTATGTGTGCTTCAGTGCCAGCTTGCTCTAAGTGCTGATATCAGGACTGGCACTGTGTCATTAAATAAAC